ACCCCACAGCAGGTCGGGGTGCCGCGAGGTACAACTCACCTCTACCCGACGAGGGGCTGTCACCAACCTCAAGTAGGCATACCTCTGCTGAGCTACCGACCCACATGCAAAGACTTTTACATGCCTTTGTAGAGGTAAGTTGGTCGAGGGTGTTTGCTCGATCGCCGTAGCATAGGCATATGCGAGGTTGAACGCCTAAGACTGACCCGTTTATGTGTCGGGCATCGGGGCGCTGATCTCTTGGACCGACTTACTATTCAGGTCGACTCGATTGACGATCTCTCGCGCATACATTACTCTGACCTATTTGTACTTGACCAATACATTATATACGCTATTTAAGTTCACCCAAACCAATATATACATGAAGAATAAAGTTCAAAGTTTGAGACTGAAAAGCAAGGAGATGTCTTTACATTTCACATGACAAAGGCAAACATCAGGATGAACAAAGCTGAATTTTGGAAGAGAAAACAATCAATAGGCTCATGGCCTTTCAAATAGGCATCACAAATAAAAGTAGGCTCATGGCCTTTCAAAACATGCATCAAAAGTAAAAGATAGGCTCGTGATCGTTCAAAGAAATAACATGAATAAGACTTTTACCTTGCCAATCATCCTAATCTATTTAGCATCAAGAAAGGGTGAAGTCTGAATAACCAAACCAAATGTTCAAAGGTTAAGCGTCGAAGAAGCGTCTGAGTCGAGGCTCAGGTAAGCATAAGTTTGTCAATGCGAGTTGAGTGAATGGCACGTGGTTGGTCGTTTTACTGACCTGCAGACAAAACAAAAGCATTTCACAATCCTAACAGAGTCAACCATTCATTCACTTCCACACACATTACACTTACACTTCAAAACCTCTCAGCTAGACATTCCCTTTTCGACCCAGTCATTTAGTCATACAAGGACCTCTTTTGACAAAACACAGACCCTTCAGAGAATGACCCAAGAACAGAAATGCCTTTCAGTGCAGAGGTAGATGCAAAGTGTGGGTGTCAAGGGCGAGTGAGGGTTGAGTTGGCGAACCAACCTGTTACCATAAGTCAACAACATGTAATCTTGTATAGACCCATAATGAGTCCTCTTGATTAAGATGACCTGCAATCACGCACAGGTCGATACGGTCTCAACACCTCTTTGTTATCGACATGATAGTGAACTTCATTTTAGTCGGGAATAATACTACATTAACATAACTCCCTCTAGGTAGCCTGTCTAACTTCTTATCAGATCAGCTTCTAGAGATAGTCGTCTAAAGGCAGAAAAGTATAGAGCTAACATCTCCAAAACTTTGCCCTTCAGACATACACAGACAAAATACCTTCAATCTCATACGGAGTAGAATCATAAGATTGTCATCAATCAATAGATTAAGGTAGCAGGACCGATCACACGGGGCCACATTCCTTCTACCTCAACCTCAGTAGAACCAGAAAATAGATATTGTCAGTTCGTTAGTCTTTTGCGGGATCTTCATAAGAGTTGTCATAGGATAGTACATCACACGGCACCCTCATCTTATTGGGCATCTGGTCGTGATAGGGCAGACCTCATGGGGTCTTGCTTCTCCTATCGCTGTTTTGATGTCGAAGCACGGTTGACGGACAATAAGGCAGACTTCTCTTATCACCACCTCCCTTACCCGTGCTAACTTATTGCGATAGGGCAGGCCTTGCGGGGCCTCACTCCTCCTATCGGTTACTTGCGTTGATGCACAACTGGCTGGTAATAAGGCAGGCTTCTCAAAACCTCGCTTATCTTATCACCATCCTTCCTTATCCGTGCCATTGTATTGCTTTCGCAAGTTTTCGTTCGTTGCATTGGACGCTTCTTAAGCCCTGGATCATTCGGAAGTCTTTAAGCTTATGCGGGTATGCAATACGAAACCCGTGCCCCACCTCTTAAAAACCTTCCGCCTAATCGCCGAACTATGTTAGTTTAGGACTTTAAGAAGATGCAGACTTTAGTCAACTGTAGGGCAAGAGTTAGTTGATACTGTCCATTTTTCACAGTGCTTTGACCAATAGCACGCACAATCCTTCAATCCACTGTGAACCCCGCTTTATCAATGTCAGGTGGTCTATTAAGCAAGGCAAGACTGCACGGAGTCGATTCCCTTGCGGCTACATCCCCACAAAAAGAACACTCACATAGCGAGACAGTTTCACGACACTTCTCGTTCTCGCTATGTTTTTCAGCAATAGTTAGTCATACCCAGTCCCTTTCTGTCAGATCATGGCAGATGATCCACGCATCACATTGTCTCACTCGATTGGTTGCGCAGAGTGTTCGTTCACTTGATTGGTTGTGCACTGCACCCCGCTCACCCAATCAGTTGCGGACAACACTGCTTACTCATGGCGCATCAATTTTCGGCCAACTCATGGCTATAATAAAATAAATAAATAAATAAAATCTGAAAGGCATATATGCCAGGAATATGAGTGAGAACGACATATTGAAAACCAAATTACGAAGTCTTCAACAGACAAGCATCTACAAATGGACACGAATATCCAAGTAGTCAGGTACAAGGAAAAAGCACAAACGTACTGAGATTCCATGCAAATAAGAGCAATACAATAAGCTTTTGAGCCAATGTTCAAGTCCTCAGGCCACACCAACACAGTATCCAGTGTAGCCCGTCTTTATCTGGCGCCCAACGCCCAGCATACACTACTTACCTATCCTTATACAACTGTATTCATGCAACAGGCTCACTTCGACGTTGAAGACCAATGTGTATGACGTCAATACCATAGTCGACCTTTCAAACACACCAGGTACATATCCCCCCCCCCCTTTTTTTTTTTTTTTCTTTGTCTCACTTCTCTGTGTACATGTTTTTTTCTGTGTGTGTCACAGTGCACTGTGTGTCTCTTTGTTTGTCACTGTGTCCGCATGTCACGGTATCTGTGTTTTCTCTGTGTGTGTCACAGTGCACTGTATGTCTCTTTGTTTGTCACCGTGTCCGCATGTCACGGTATCTGTGTTGTGTCACTGTGACTCTGTTTGACTGAGTGTCTATGCGACTGCGTGTCTGCGTCGCTTTGTATCCGTTACAATCATTGTGCACTGTGATTTTCACTACGTCTGTGTATGTGTCACTGTGTACGGGTCACTGTGTATTTGTGTGTGTCACAGTGTGCGTCACTATATCATAGCGTATGTGTGTGTCACTGTGCACTGTATATCTCTGTTGTGTGCGTGACTGTGTCTGTGTGTGTCTCACTGTGTCACTACGTCTGCGTGTCATAGTGTTTGTGTCATTGTGTCTATGCCACTGTGTGAATGTGTCTGTATGTCACAGTGTTTGTGTGCCACTATGTTTATGGCACTGTGTTCATGTATCTTGTGTCACTGTGTATGTGACACTGTGTCAGTGTGCGTTGTCGGACCAGAAACCCTTACAATGGTATCTGCTCGGGCTGTTCAAGGTCGGACGTTGTCCGATGTTCTCGTTAAATGGAAGGACTTGATGAGACTGACGTTTGCAAAAGTTTATTCAGACCTACCCTATGACCGAGAAGACTACAACTGTTTAAGTCTAGGTTCGAACGCTTGTGACGTCTGACAATAATAGCGGTAGTCGTTAGTGTGACCGGTTAGTCGCGGCTCTTAATAGAGTCGCGGCAACACACGGTCGTGGCAATGCAAAAACTAGACCTAGACCACCTAAAAGAACGACACGCGGCTGCTAAGCCGCGCGATTCAGAGCCTAACTAGGCTAAAAGGAACGACCGTGCCGGGTATGGAGCCGCGGCGTGGGAGGAATAGGAGGCCTATATTTTTTAATTTTGGGACGTGGGGTTTGACTCTGTTTGGGGTCCGTAACCGCATCGACGGTTTAGGGGCCAGGTGGTCCACCCAGCTAGGTTGGACATTGCGGAGCCTGGCACAAACGGCCAATTCAATGGCCGACCAAGGCCAACAAATCCATCCAAGCTAAGGGCTGCATCGGGAAATGCCTGCTGGGCCACAGGCTGGAGGGTCGGCCTACTGGGCGCCGCCCTTCAAATAGAGGGGTTGCTGCTTCTGCTCCCGTGATAGGAGCTAGCCTAGTAGGTGAACGCATTGGACCGCCACGCTGCAGACATAGGGATCGAATCGAAAATGCGCCTGAACTGGGCCGGCTCCTTTTGGAGCCGGCTATTGGGATGGGGCAGTTTGGGCGCGACCAATCTTGGCCGTGCGATCAGCAGGATCACACAGCCAGGAATAGCCGCGCCGGATTGAGCATGGCCCCTGGGCAAGGATGACGCGCACAAATTGAGAAATGGCCAATTTTTTTTCGATTACCCGATGGGAATCGAACACGGGCCTGCAAGGCGTGGAGGGAGGAAACCGTGGTCGTTGGCTTATGCCAACGCAGGGCTGGGCCGGCAACCGGCCGGTCGAGCTGGCCTGGTCCAACCGGGGCCGGACCGGTTGAGGGGGGGTCAACTGGCAAACCGGATGACCCAAAAAAGTGCCCAATTTTTTTTCATTTTTTTTTTTCCTTCGTGGGATCTGATTGTGCTTGTCGAGATCTGTTGGATTCCGCAAAAAAACTTTGAATGTTGGAAATTTTTTTTTGTGGTGTGCC